GCCTGCGCTCTGTCGACCTGCCGCATCTGCTGGTTCCATCGTCTGACCTCCTCGTCGTCGAAGAGGCGGCACTCGCTAGTCGCGAAGTGGTCGTAACCTTCGATCACCTTCCCGCAGCGCCAGCAGAACTTGGTGTCGCAACTGCGGCAGTGCATCTTGCCTTATAGCGCCCCCTGGCCCAGTCCCGCCCGAGGCCGGGCATGATCCCAAGCCCCCCGGTCCAGCCCGCCCAATCCAGGCCCACCCCGAAACGCTGACCGCCCCAGGAAAAACCAAGGCCCGGCCGATCGCCCCGAGCGCGAGCGATCGATGGAGGAGCGAGCGGGCCACGATCCGCGACCGGGCCCTGCAGGGTGGACCCGAGGCCTCTTGGGCGCCTCGCTGCAGCCCTCCGTCTTCTCGATGGCCATCTCGCACTTGGGGCAGCGCTTCGTGGTCCGCGCCACGTGCCGCAGCGTCAGCAGCTCCGCGCGGGCCGCTGCTGCCTCGGCGCCACTGCCTGCCGCGCGGGCCTCGAGGGCCTCCATGCGGTCGTCCGCGCTCTGGCACTGCACGCCCGGGTGCCAGGCGCCCCGACACTTCCCGCAGAAGACAAACTCGCACGCGCCGCAGCGGGCCATGCGGTCCTCGTCCTCGATGCAGGCCACGCGGTTGCCGGTGCCCTCGCGGGAACACCAGAACTGGAGATGGCAATCGTCGTTCATCACTCTGCCAGTTCTTCGGTGATTCCTCCAACAGTGCTTGCACTTGTTCGGGGTGATTGTAGTCATTTTCTAACGAACTGGGCTGGTGTGCTGCTCTGGCGGCTATGTTGTCGCCGTCGCAGCCTCGTCGCCGCCACGCTGCCGCCCGTCGTCCGGGCCAGTGTGCTGCTCTGGCGGCTATGTTGCCGCCGTCGCCGCCCCGTCGCCACCCGTCGCTGGGCTGGTGTGGCGGTCTGGCGGCTATGTTGTCGCCGTCGCCGCCACGTCGCGACATCGTCGACGCCCGTCGTTTGGGCCAGTGTGGCGGTGTGGCGGCTACGTTGTCGCCGTCGCCGCCCCGTTGCCGCCTCGTGGCCGGCACACGGGCTGATCCACACCGATGGCACAACATCGACTGCACCACGTAGATGGCACAGCACAGATTGCATCAAACAGAGTGCACAATACTGATTGCACCACATAGCTTGCATCACACCGATTGCACAACAAAGGTTGCACCATATGTGTGTATAAATATATGTATATATATATATATATTCCCTTTTCTATATTTCTATAATCCTGGGGGGTGGGAACGCCCCCCCCGAAATAGGATCCTCCCCAACCGGGACTTCCGGAAACGGGACCCCTCACGAGGATCGCAGCCTCCGAGCGCGAAAATTAGCGCTCTCCGTCCAAAGAGGAAGGTGAGAGGACACGCGAGGCTCCTTGGACCTCCCGAGAGGCTTTCTCGAGGCTCCTACGAAGGCCCAAGAGGGTCCCAAGAGCCTTCCAGAGTCCTCCGAAGAAGCCCCCGAGAGATGAACATCAGTGATTTCCTATGCTTTTTCTAAGATTTTTGCTTCTTTGCATGTTCACTGTTCCGACGTGCCAAGACGGCCGAAGCCGCCCACAAGACCGATGCCAGACGGCTCAAGAGGCCTCCAAGCGAGTCCGAAACCGGCCCATGACAGCCCCGACACGGCCCAAGGGGTGCCCAAGACGGCCCCAGAGAGCCCCAAGACGGCCTTCAGAAACGGCACCCCTCACGAGGATCGTAGCCTTCCGAACGAAGCCCATACATAACGTTCGTAGAGCCTGCCTGTCCCAAAGTCGCGTCAGCACGCCTCCCCGCGCCCCCCTGCCTCATATTTTGAAGTATAAAGCTGCATTATGGTCAGAATCCTGGGTTCGCACCCTTTTTTAAAGAAATTTGGTTGCGAACCCGGGATTCGATAAGTTTCCCTCTGAAGTCCTTTTCTTGCATTCCATTTGCCCCTTTCGTTGCCTCGAACACCAAATCCCACCAGCCCTTTGGGCGTGAGTGGTTTAGAGAGCCCGCTCTGTTCTCAACCCCCCTTCTTCCCTTCTGAGGGGGCAGCGCTCATTAAAGCTCCCCTCTTCTTTGATCGATTCCCTCCAAGATGGCCCCAAGAAGCGCCCAGGAGGCACCAAGAGGCCCCAAGATGGCCCCAAGAGGCCCCCAGGAGGCCCCCAAGAGGCCTCCAAGATGCCCCCAAGATGCCCCCAAGAGGCCCCCAAGAGGCCCCAAGAGGCTCCCCCGAGGCACCCAAGACGCTCCTGGAAGCCCCTGGGGCCGCCAAGAGGCCCCCAAGACGCCCCAAACGGCCTCCAAGAGGCTCCCAAGAGGCCCGAAGAGGCTCCCCCAAGGCACCCAAGACGCTCCTAGAAGCCCCTGGGGCCGCCAAGAGGCCCCCAAGACGCCCCAAAAGGGGACGAGGTGCCCGAACGTGCCTCACGCCCGAACGACTCACACCAGGAGCCCGAACGACTCACACCACGAGGAGCCCGAACGACTCACACCAGGACGAGGGGCCCGAACGACTCACACCACGAAGAGCCCGAACGACTCACACCAGAAGGAGGGGCCCGAACGACTCACACCAGGACGAGGCGCCCGAACGACTCACACCACGAGGAGCCCGAACGACTCACACCACGACGAGGGCCCCGAACGACTCACACCACGAGGAGCCCGAACGAGTCACACCAGGAGGAGGGGCCCGAACGACTCACACCAGGACGAGGGGCCCGAACAACTCACACCACGAGAAGCCCGAACGACTCACACCAGGACGAAGAGCCCGAACGACTCACACCACGAAGAGCCCGAACGACTCACACCAGGAAGAAGGGCCCGAACGACTCACACCAGGACGAGAAACCCCAAACGACTCAAACCACGAGGAGCGCTTTCTCTCCCTCCTCCTCCGCCTCGTCCTTCTCCCGCTCCCCCCACAAGGAGGATGTACAAGGAGGCGGGAGGAAGGAGGAACAGGGGAGATATGCGGGGCCAAGCGGACACACGCCTGAAAAACACGACTGTCGGCATGCTTCGCAAGAGTTGCTGTTGTGAGATGGGCTGGTGGGGGTACGCGAAGCGTAAAGAATTCTCCCACTCCCCGTCCGCAACCTCTGCACATTCGCGATGCGAGCCCGCGAGGACCCCTCGAAGGGACCGCAGGATACCGCGAGAAGCCAGCCGATCCAAAGCTTCAAGGAACAAGATGCATGGCGCGAAGCGCCTATGCAGCCTTGCATATATGAATATATATATATATATATATATATATTGCACATCACACTGTGCACAACATACACTGCGCAACATAGATTGAGCCCCACATATGATGTTTCACACATGCTGCACAACATAGAGTGCGCCACCTATGTTGCACAACATAGATGGCCCCATTTAGGTGGACCACACACATATACATATATATATATATATGTATATATGTATATATATATATATATTGCAATACATGTGTTGCATCACGTGGGTTGCACCACATACGTAGCACCGCGTAAATTTGCACAACAAAGGTTGCACAACATAGTTTGCACCACGTATTCCACCACATAGATTGCACAAAAGGTGCTGCACTACATAGTTTCACAACGTAGATCGCACCACGTAGACTGCAACGCATAGATAGATTGCACCACATTGTTGCACCACAGATGTTGCACAACACGCATCGGTTGCACAACACAGACTGCACCACATGATCTGCACAACGTAGATGGCACCACATGCATGTATATATACACAAAATGCAGATCGTAGGTTGCACACCATACGTTGCACAACATGTACGGCACCGCATACACTTATCCACGTAGATCGCACCACACATACATCGACTGTACGACAATGTTGAGCCGTTTCGTTGTTCCACTAAGACAAATCTTAGGCGGGATCGCCATCGCGAATTCGAGCTGGAAATGTGCCGACCACTATTTTCGAGGACGTCTTGGTCGGGAGCGTCACTTCGAAATCGAACCCGATGGGTGTCGAAGGCCAGTTTTGCAGGAACTCCTGAGCGGGAGCGCCATTTCGACATCGAGCCCGAAGGGCCGCAACATCGGTTTCGGAAGAAGTCCTGGACAGAAGCTCCATCTCGAAATCGAGCCAGAAAGTTTCAAATTGTAGTTTGGAGGAGGTATTTGGCGAGAGCGCCATTTCGAAATCGAACCCGATACTATCGAAATCGTACGAAATTGTTCTGCGCAGCAATTTCAAGCGAAAGCATTTTTTCGAAATGGCCACACCGCTTGGCATTTTGAATCCCCAATTTCTGACACGAGACTCCGACATGTGTTTTCGCTTGAAACGCCCTCTGGAAACGATCTCGACTTGAATTCGAAACCCTCGGGCTCGAAGTCGAAAGGGCGGCTCCGCCCGAGACTCGAGCAAAACAGTGCTTGAACAAAACGCCCTCCGGAAAAAAGATCTCGACTTGAATTCGAAACCATCGGGCTCGGCGGCTCCGCCCGAGACTCGAGCAAAACAGTGCTCGAACAAAACATTGTACTGGGGCCCCGCGGCCTAACGGGCCCCCCTTGACATCTTCCCTCTCGTCGCGGGCGCAGCGCCACGGACCACGCTGTACCAGGGCCCTGTCGCTTCACGGGGGGCGCTGCGTTTTGAGCCGAGCGTTCGTAGGAACCTCAACAACCATTTGTAGCTGACCTGCGTACAAGCGATGCGACGACGACGACGACGCGCCTCGAAGTGCGCGTCGACGACGGCGATACTTCGGTCTGCGAACGAATCCGCCACTTTCCAGAAAGACCGGATGCAAGGCAACCATCGGCATTGTGAAGTTCCAGATCGAATTTCAAACTTCTCATGGTTGCCCCCTGTACATTGCGCTGCGCACGTGCAACTCGGAAGTGATTCGCCCGACTCCCCTCGGGCACTGCGAATCGATCTGTATAAACGGTGCGACGACACCGACGCGCCTCAAAGTGCGCGATGACGACGGCGATACATCGGTCAGCGAGCGAGTGCAAGGCAATCGTAAGCGGATTGAAATTCCACATCAGCGCTACGAAAGTTTTGAGCCGTTTCGTTGTTCCACCCAGACAAATCTTATGCGGGAGAGCCTTTGCGAATTAGAACTGAGGAAGTGCCGACCTCTATTATCGAGAACGTCCTGGGCGGGGGCGCCACTTCGAAATCGAACCAACGGGTGTAGAATGCCAGTTTTCAAGAACTTCTGGGCGGGAGCGCCATTTCGAAATCAAGCCCGAAAGGCTCCGAATTCTGATTCGGAATAAGTCCAGACGGGAGCGCCATTTCGAAATCGAACCAGAAAGGTTTCGAATTCCACCAGGGAGGAAGTTTTGGGAGGGAGCGCCATTTCGAAATCGAACCCAAAAGTTTCGAAATCGTTCGAAATTGTTTTGTGAAGAAATATCAAGCGAAAGCATCGTTTCGAAATGTCCACACCGCTTGGCATTAAGATTTCCAATGTCACGAGATTCCGAAAGTGCGGTTTTCGCTTGAAGCGTTCTCCGAAAAGTGATCTCGGCTGGATTTCGAAACCATCGGGCTCAAAATCGAAAAGGCGGTTCCGCCCGAGACTTGAGCAAAGCAATGTTTGAACGGAACATTGTACTGGGGCCCCGCGGCCTAACGGGCCTCTTTGCGTCTCCTCTCTTGTCGCGGGCGCAAGGCCAATGACACGCTGTACCGGGGCCCCGTCGCCTAACGGGAGGCACTCATTTTGGCAGAATTTTCGTGGCGGCGATATATCCCTCCACATAGATGTCATCACATGTATTGCTAGAAACACACTGTGTGGGGCCCGCGCGGGCTAATGTGTTCCCACACCAGCTTAACCTGTTACTGACCTTCGACCCTAGATCATAACAGAAGGTCAGGAGTAGAACAATCATACATGAAAGGGATTGAAGCCCTCGAGTCCCAACCTCCCCCAGCGTCTCCCGGGGAACCCTAGACCCCCAGAACCAAGGCAGACGCGAATGTGATTCATTCAAGGGCTTGCTCTGTGCTCGAGCATCTCGAGACAAGAGACAGCGCCCGTCGCTAGCGCCGAGTACTTCAGCAATGACGTCGCGCATTCCAGGCCCGGCGCCGCAGTTGGGCGGGCACTGGGCAAGCCCCGACACCCGCCCCCCCCCTCGGGCCCCGGGCTTCTCCGGGCCCAGACGACGCCGCAGGCCCCTTCTGCGAGGGCCTGGGCCTCCTGCCCCCCCCTCCCTGGCGGGAAGGGCAAGCAAAACATGAGCGCCACGACGCATGCTTGCCCCGAACCGGCCAAACAAGCGTGTGACTTGAGATGAATCAGCGCGGGTGAAGGCCCCTCATTCTGAGGAGCGACGTGCGCCGACGGGGGCGGCTCCCAGCGGCAGACGCTGTTCGAGAGGAGAGGGGGAAGCACGATGAGAAGAACGACTGCTGCTCTGGCTGATAAACCTACCATTGCCGTCACGCTCTTAACTGCAACACAATTGTATTTGACGACGGCGCCACTTGAAAATACTTTGGACGCGACATTTTGAGTTCAGGTATATTTGATTCAGCGAGGGCGTCGTTGGCCAACCCCATACCAAACTGAGCGGCAACGAGATTTCTCAGGGGATAATTTCCCGGAAATGAGCCCTGATTTCTGCATGTTTGAATTTCACAGGTGCTTCGTAGAAAACCGTACCATGAACGCAACACTGACTATAGGGACGTTGGGATCAGAGGACGACGCTAGTTGCGAATTCGGCAGCGAACCCTGTGTATGATGAACAATGAGAACAATTCGGGGTTCCCCTGCCTGCCCATGCCTCCTCTTCTCCTCGCCCCACCTCGCTGTCATCCGCGCTCTGCTCCTCCTCGCCGTGTCGTCTGTGTTCTCCTCTTGCGCCTGCGTCTCTCTTTACCCGTTCCGTCCCCATCGTCCACCTCGTCCTGCTCCCTCCCCCTCCTCCCGACTTCTCCTCCCCCCATCCCCTCTTGAAGGAAGGATGGGTGCGGGCAAGTCTGGCAGCGCTGGGAGCCTTAGTCGCCTTCCCTCTTCCTCCTCCTCCTCCTCCCTCCTCCTCCTCCCACTCCTCCCCCTCCTCCTCCTCCTCCTCCTCCTCCTCCTCCTCCTCCTCCTCCTCCTCCTCCTCTTCCTCCCAATGCTGTTCACCGTCGTCTCCGCCACGGCGTCCACGCTTCAAGCGGTCAGGCCTCGGCGTCGCACCTGGGACAGTACACCACGTCCCCCATGCCCTGCAGGGCCTGCTGCAGGCTGAGCTCCTCACAGCGCGGAGGACGCGAAGGACGGCGAGGAGCACTGGGAGGATGACGAGGAAGGGGAGGACGTCGAGGACGGAGACGGCAGGGAGGATGACGAGGACGGGGAGGACGGGGAGGACGACGAGGGGGAGGACGGGGAGGACGGGGAGGACGACGAGGACGGCGAGGAAGACGGGGAGGACTGGGAGGAGAACCAGGAGAAGGACTGGAAGGAGGACGGCGGGGAGGACGGCGAGGAGGACGGCGAGGGGGACAGCGAGGGGGATGCCGAGGAGGACGGTGAGGAGGACGAGGACTGGGAAGGGGCCCCTCTTCGCCGCCGGCTGCATCGGCCCGTAGCTGCATGTGAGAGCTCGGGCGAAGCAGAGGTTTTAAGTGGCTGGGACGGGCTGGGGGCGCCTGTTCTCTCATCCTTTGAGCAGGGACCGACCGTCCCGGCATTCCTATAGTCCTATCACGACATGTTCTTAGAACCCAGGAATGTTCTAAAAGCAATAACAATGTTCTTAGAATATGAACCCGATGTGTTGAAACAAGACAGTCCCAGCCAGACATGTTCTAAGAACATTTCGTGGGAACCATTAAAAGTACTTAGAAAATTATTTGGTAGGCCTTTAGGCACGCCGTGACGCTTCGCCACTGCTTCACTCATCCTCCGTTTCGCTCCTGTTTGCTGCCCGTATGGACTCAACTTTTCTCGGGGCCTTGAGGAGCCCCGTGCGCGCTTGCTGGCCCCTGGGGGGGGGCGGCTCGCGGGGAAGCACCCAGGCCGGCGCCGCGATGGCGCCGGGCTGCTGCCGCAGGGCCAGGACCACTCGGGCAGGACGAGATGACACTCGGAAGTCTCGACCCCCTTCCCAGGACTGGTTTGGGCCAGGACCGCTCGGGGAGGACGAAGATGACCCTCGGAAGTCTCGACCCCCTTCCCAGGACCGTTTTTTCATCTCGAGTCGTCCCGTGACTGCCCCGTATCCCGGGTCAGCTTGGAGGCCGAATGTAGCAAAAAGGCTTCCACCGGGAATTTTCGCCGACGCGGGGAAGCCTTGGGAGGACGGGGAGAGGACGGGGGGCCACAAGAGGCGGGGGGGAGCTCCTCCCAGCGCGCCATCTCCGCCGAGCCTGCGCCGAGCAGCGCGCGCAGGCTCTCCTGCGGCCCCGTGCGGGATCGGCAAACCTTATGTGTCGAGGCCCCCCCCCCCCATTCCTGCCCCAGACCTCCTCCCCAGAACTCCTCCCTAGGCCTCCGCGCGTCGCGAATGACAAATCACAACCGGAACTTTGTGACAATTTTCGGCCTCCGAGATCCCTTGCCGGGCCCCGGAACCGTCAACAAAGGATTCGGGACGAAAGAAGGGATGGAAGGCCAGTCCCACGGAAGGAATCGAGACCTCCGAGGGCCCCCAAGTTACAGAATAATCGCGTCGTTGGGGGACTGGGTCCTCCTCCTCAAGGTTTCAATGCGTTTGAACCTCTGGAGGCTCTGGAGAACGTCTCCGTGGATATCCTCCTCATCCTCCCCTTCTCCTTTCGTCCTCGCCTCCTTCTCGTATCCCCCTCTCATCCATTTTCTCCTCCTCCTCCTCCTCCCCCTCCTCCTCCTCCTCCTCCTCCTCCTCCTCCTCCTCCTCCATTCCTTGTCCTTACAGGATCACTCCTACCTGTCGCACCCCGAGGCTAGTCGAAAAGGAGGGCTGGGCGTTTCGCCTGAGACATCATCACCATTTATGATCCTGAAGCTTAGAGACCAGTAACAGCTTCACGGATTGTGGGCGGGTCGTTTTCAAAATGTGGCTCTCGCCTTAGCGCCACCCAAATTCGTTGTTCAAACATTGCAAGGGCTTCACGGATTGAGGACGGTTAATTTTCAGAATGTGGCTCTCGCCTGAACGCCACGCACATTCGCTTAAAAAAGCCAAGGGTTTCACGGATTGAGAACGGGTTGTTTCCAAACTATGGCTCTCGCCTGAGTCTCGCCGTAGCGCTGCGCACGTTCGTGCTTGTTTATGGGAAAATCTAAAAAGTAAGGGTTTCACGGATCGAGGGCGGGTTGTTTTCAAAATGTGGCTCTCGCCTCAGCGCCACGCACATTCGTTTTGAACATCTGCAAGGGGTTCACGGATTGAGAGCAGCTCGCTTTCAAAATGTGGCTCTCGCCTGAGCGCGGCGCACATTAGTTTTTGTAAAATGTAAGGGCTTCGCGGATTGTGGGCGGGTCGTTTTCGAAATGTGGCTTTCGCCTGAGCGCCGCGCACATGGCTTCTAATAATTTGCAAAGACTTCACGAATTGAGGGGGGGCTGATTTCAAAATGTGGCTCTCGCCGTAGCGCCGCGCACATTCGTTCTCAAAATGTGCAAGAGCTTCACGGATTGAGGGCAGCTCGTTTTCAAACTGTGGCTCTCGCCTTGGCGCCGCGCGCATTCGTTTGCAATCTTTGCAACAGTTTCACTGACTTTTATGGTTAACGTGTTTTGGAACGATTCAAGATTGTCAGGACACAACAATTACGCGGATTCGCGGTGTTGAGGTCCTAGGAAAGGTGTTCTGGCAAGATTCAGAGTCGCCAAGACGTGCCAGTCAGGATAACTCGTGGCGTTGAAATCCTGAGAATCATCGTTTGGCACGCTTCAGGATTTTCACACGGTTGTCCTCCTACGGGGCAACTCCCTCAGTGGCAATGAACCCTTTAGGGGCCTATGAAGAGGGAGTTTGGAGGGAGGGTGGATTCCAACATCGTTGATGAGTCTTGGGTTTGCACTGGTCCTTTTCCTCCTTCTCCTCCTCCTCCTTCTCATCTTCCTTCTCCTCCTCCTCCTCCTCCTCCTCCTCTTCCTCCTCCTCCTCCCCTGCTCCGCCTTTGTCCTCTTACTCACCACGCCCAGGAAATGGTGGGGAGACTGCACACCTTAAGAACATGATGCGTTCAACGTGCGCATGAGCGACGATCAAACGAGTCTCGCGCAAGATGACATAGCGACCGCACGCCGCGGCTTACGCGTGCCAGAGGGCGCTTATGCGCGGCCTCACGCGGGCAGCTTCCGCGCCAGTGTCGGCGCAGACGACCCCCGTTTTCTGGCATCGCTCACATGGGTTCCCTCGAATTCGGAGCGGGAGGGGATCGAAGCGAATGAATGTGTTCATGTTTTGGGCCGGAAACAGCCGGTCAATCTGAAGCAGTGCTTTCTCTGAATCATGTTCCACGTTATTTCCGTAGCGCAGGGCTCGGCATCGCCGCGACGTCCGTCGGCCAGCTGCCCCCTCGGCGGATGTCCCCTGGCGGTCGGGCACTCGGGCCTGCGGGAGGCAGGGGGAGGGCCCCCCGCAGGAGCGGAAACGCTGTGCTTGCGTGTAATGGCGACGAGATCTATACACATCCACCGCTCCCTGGCCAGGTCCATCCTGAACCCAGCAGCGGTGTATATAGGGGAACGAACAGTGACATAAACATAAAAACTCGGAGGTCCGCGCGGATTTCTCGGATCCGCGCTAGACCCCCCTGGCGGCGCCTCCGGTGCCGCCCCTGGCGCGCTCCGCGCGCCAGGGAGGGGAGTCCAGCGCCGATCCAAGAAATCCGCGCGGACCTCCGAAATTTTATGTTTATGTCATTGTTCGTTCCCCTAGTATACGCCACGCCCTCCCGCCTTGGCCAGGAAGGCGTGCACACAGCTTGCTGTCCCGCCAGGGGCTGCCCCGTGTCCAGGAGGTGGTGCCAGCGGCGAGCGGAGCCGGCTGCACGCAGCGGATTTCGCAAGCTGGGGGAGGGGGAGGGTGGGAGAACGGGGGGGGGACGCAGAGGCCCACCCCCAGAGCAGGAGGAGGAGGAGGAGGAGGAGGAGGAGGAGGAGGAGGAGGAGGAGGACATCTCCCCCAAAAGCCTCGTGAAGCTCGTATTCGGTTCCAGCGCATACCCCGAGGCGTTCGGCCCGAAGCAGGGCACCGAGACGGCGCACAGGCAAACCGAGCGCCGGCCGGCAGGAGTCATCGGCCCTGCAGGAGCCAGCTGCGCAGCCTTGGCAGGCCAGTCAGGCGTTGTGCCCTGGCTACCTGGGTGCGTGCTCACCCTAGGCCTTGCACCAGGAGCACACACACATACACACACACACTTACAAAACACGGGGCCCGTGTACATCTGCCACGCAGGCGTAGAGGCAACAGTGACCACGAGCAGGTTCAATGCTTAATGTCGATGCTTCATGGCGTAACGACCTCTAAACATGATAAACAACACCACACACACATGACTGACTGACATGTGGGACATCTGGAGGAGGAGGAGGAGGAGGAGGAGGAGGAGGAGGAGGAGGAGGAGAGAGAGGAGGGAGGGAGGAGGAGGAGGAGGAGGAGGAGGAGGAGGAGGAGGAGGAGGAGGAGGAGGAGCATCTGGAGGCCACGCGCTGGATGCAGACGAAGAAGCTCAACGCGCCGGGCCATTGGAGGGGCCGAGCGCTGGCTCACCATCTGGCCCCACACGTACCGCGCTCCCGCCCGGGCCGGCAGCGTGTGAGAGCGACGGAAAGGAATCGGGCCTTGCGCAAGATGACGTTTTCCTCCTCCTCCTCCTCCTCCTCCTCCTCCTCCTCCTCCTCTGCCTCCTCCTCCTCCTCCTCCTCCTCCTCCTCCTCCTCCTCCTCCTCCTCCTCCTCCTCCTCCGGGGTGCCTCGCTCTCGCCCAGGCCGCCGGCACAGCACATGCGTGCATTCAGCTCGCGGGCGGTCCGCGCCCGTGGGGAGGGGGGGGGAGGGGCGGGGTCCCGAGAACATGCGCCACCACCACGCCGGTTCCTCCTGCCTCCTCTTCCCCTCCTCTTCCCCTCCCCTCTCCTGGGGAGGAGGGGAGGGGGTCGGGGAGGTGGTGGTGGTGCGTGCCCTTGAGCCCCGCAGGGGGGGGCGCCACCCCCGCCGCCGAGACCCCCGACCCCCCCCCCCCCGCCGCGCGAGGGCACGGCGCGCCGAAGACGCCGCCCCCCCGAAAGGCGGGGCGCCGTGGAGCCACCCGGGGGGAAGTGGAAGCGGCGTGCTCAAAAAAAAACGCCCAGGTACAACGACGAGAAGATGGCGCAGGAGAGCCCCCCCCCCGCGCCCCCAGCGTCCACGTTCATCGAAGCGGAGCAGGCCGCGGTTTGCAAACGTGGGCGTGTTGTTCGGAAAGGCTTGCATTCCCCCGCGTCGACCACCCCGAACTTTGAATTTGGGGCAGGGGGGTGGGGCCCGCTTCAACATGCATTAGAGATGTGAGTTTTTTTCGAAACCACGACCCCAGGCGGTCCTCGTCAAATGCAGGGGAGGGGAGGGTGGAGGGGGAGAGTAAGACGAAGCCAGGACGAGGATCAAACTCGGGTGAGGACAACTCGAGAATCTCTGAGATCCGGCGGCTCTGGAGGATGTCTCGGGCGCCGCAGCCTTCTCAGGGCGTTCTGGAACGCGCTAAGAGCGTTCTGGAACGCTCTGGAACGGATGCATCTTCGTCCCAGCCCCGCCCGGGGAGAGGGAGGGTTTGGATTGGACTCGGGACTCAGCGCTGGGTTCGACACTAGGACACGATGAAGAGCGGCAAATTCCAGCTGGCCCGGATCGGGGGGGCCAGACATATCATTCGATATACGGGATTGTCCTAAACGTGGTCAGGATGGCGCCTGTACAGATGCCTCGTGATGCACGCAAACACGCACACACACACACCACGAGATGCAGTAAGCTGGACGGCCATCCTTCTGTCATCTTCATTATTCAGCTGTTTCTATATGTCTGCCAATGCGCCGTCAGGGCGCGGCTTCTTTCGTCTTCTTCTTATTAATATTATTATTATTATTATTATTATTCGTCTTCTTCGTTTTCTTTCTCTTATAATAATAATAGTAATAGTAATAATAATAAGTATTATTAGTAGTATCGTTGTTGTTATTATTATTATTATTAGTAGTAGTAGTAGTACTACTACTACTACTACTACCACTACTACTACTACTACTACTACTACTACTACTACTACTACTACTACTACTACTACTACTACTACTACTATTCTTATTATTATTATTATTATTATTATTATTATTATTTATTAGTATTAGTAATTATATTATTATGAGTAGTATTATTATTAGTAGTAGTATTAGTATTGATATTATTATTGAGATTATTATTACTATCATTATTATTATTATTGTTTTTATTATTATTCGTCGTCGTCCCTCGGCCCATGAGGGGGAGGGACGTGCCCTCAGCTCGTAGGCCCTGGAGCTCCCGACCACTCCCCTGGGGCGTGCCTCCGCCTCTCCGACCTCCCGAGCTGCGGCCGGCCCCCCGAGCCCGCGGCGGCGGCTCCGAAGGGTGTGGGCTTGCAGAGGGCGTGGCTTGCCATCGGCACCCTGGGGGGCACCCTCGGGAGCGGGCGCCTACCTCGAACGGACCATCGGCGGCGAGCGAGGGGGGGAAGCAAGAAGGGGCGGGCCTTCCCAGAAGGCTCGGAGTGCCCCCTCGGCCTTCTGAAGGCTTCCCGAGCATGCCCCGAAGACACAGGGAAGGCGCGAGGCTCTCTGAGAAGCCCCACCGCCTTCTGAGAAGGCCTTCGCCTTCTCCCTTTTCCCCGCCGCTCGCCGCCGAGACCAAATCTCGATCGGGTCCAAAACTGAGCGAGAGTCATACGATGATGCCCCAGGCGACCTCCGCCCCTTCCTTCCGCGATTCCGAAGCGTGTGATTCGCAAAGGGTGAAGGGTGTGGTTTGCAACCTGCGCCCTGGGGGGCACCCTCGTTGGCGGGCGGGTACCTCGATAGAGCTCTCCGCCGTGCCCCGAGGAGGCCCGACGAGGACAGCGGCGTGCCCCCCAGGCCCCACCGGCGCCGACCGCAATCCACACCCCTGGCGTGACCACACCCTTTGCAATCGCCGACGGAAGCGGCCACGGGCTTCCGACGATACAGTCGGGGCGTCAGTCGGGGCGTTGACCTAAGGAACCCTAAATAAGGAACGATGCCCCTTTCTTCCATAAGTTAACCTTCGATTTCCTGTCGAAAAACATAAGGAAAGCCTGAGTCAAGCTGTGAAACACTTGAGGAACGCGGAGCCCCTCCCCAACGAAAAGGGTTCCTTCTTCAGGGCCCCGACGATACAGTCGACGCGCTAGCAGCAGGAGCGCCAGACACGAAGGGATATAGGGCTCTGCTGGCCACGGCGGGCCCGGGGCCACAGGCAGGCCCCTCGGCCTGCAGTCCTTAAGGAGCTGCCCGGAGACCGGAGCCCCTCCCGAGCCCGAAGGGGCTCTTCTCTCAGCACCTTGACGGGCCTGCAGAGTAAAACGACGCGAAGATCGGGACAAAATCGGATCGGGATAACTCGAGATCTCTGAGGATCGGCGGGTTTGGAGGATGTATTGGGCGCCGCGGCCGCTCCAGAGCGTTCCGGAACGCTCTGAGAGCGCTCTGGAACGCTCTGGAGCGATTTATCCCGATCCTAGCCCTGTTTTACACAGCGCGAGCACGCAACCTGCTAGAAGTCCGGGCACGAAGAGCGCGGGGGGGTAGGTTTAGGTCGGGCCTGTCCCCTCACAGGGGGATTTTGGACGAAAACTGAAATTATATGGAAAAATACGCTGAACATGCTCAGTCAAAAGATGGTCCCCAGACTATTTTTTACTATTTTTGAATGTTCCTCCGTAGGTGCATGCGCAGGCCTCCAGAGGCCGTCCCGTGGTCCTGGCCCCTGGAGGCGTCCGAAGCCCCCCACCTCAAAGGGCCGCCAGCGACGTCTTCGAGGCGCTCGAGCCTCCCCTCGAGAGGGAGAGGGAAGTTGCCCTGGGCTCTCCGGGTCGAAAGGCTCGCGGCAGTCGCCCGCCGGGCAGCACAGCGCGGCGATGTTGCCCTCGGACACGTGCAGGCGAGCCATGGTCCCCAGGCACTCGCGGCAACCGAGGAGGCAGCAGCAGCAGCGGCAGGCAGAGGACGAGGAGTGAGGAGGTGAGGAAATATAACGGGGGGGAGAAAGGAAATAAGGGAATAGGTAAAGCGGAAGGGAAGGTGCTGAAGGAAGTGGGGCAAGTGGGAAAGTGGGAAGGAAACAGGGAAGGAGGGGAGTAGGAGCAGCAGCAGCAGCAGGATGTGGAGGACGAGGGGGAATGAGGAAGGAAGGCAGAAGTCGGGAAGGAGGAAAGGAGGGAAGGAAAGAGGAGACGGACAAGGAGGAGGATAAGGAGGAGAAGAAGGAAGCAAAAGGAGGCAAGGACGAGGAGGAAGGAAAAAGGGAAGCTATAACGAAGAGGGGGAGTAATAGTGACGCGATGAAGAGTCGGAGGAGGAAGTAGGCAGGAGGAGGTGCGGCAACCGAAGTGGCCGCATGAAAGGAACAGGCCCCTGGAGCCGAGGGTCTCGTCAAAGCAGAAGGGGCAGACGTGCACCTGTGGGGGGGGGGGGGGCGGGGACCAGAGGAGGAGCAGGAGGGAGGAGCCCCAGCGCCCTTCCGGGCCCAGACAAATCTCCAGGCGCAGCCCAAGACTGCCCCAGGGGGTGCTGCGAGATGACAACACGACCCCCGTTAGGTGCAATGTGCCCCCATGAGCCCCCACGAGGTCCCACGAACTCCCAAGACACGCCCAATGAGCTCCCCAGCGACCCTCTGGGGGGGGCCGACAACAATTGGATGATACAGCGCGTGGACCTCAAACGGCAACTCTGCGCAGCAACGGGGCGCACTCCATGGGGCGCAAGCCATGAATTTCAACACATGGAACGAGCCATGCCGACCCGCCATAGGAGGGCCCCCCGAGTTTGAAGCGAGAGAGCCATGCCATTGTAGTAACAGTGGTCTGGTACAGGTGTGGGAGCGATGGCGGTGGCTCAACCCTTTTTGCTCCCAGCACCGCGAATCGAGTGCAGGCGGCGTCGCTGACGCTGGCAGATTGGGCGACGCTGCTGTTGAGCCGGGGCGGCAGCGATATAGGCAAGCATATGCCCCCCCTCTTGGGACACTACCTCAAAGTCGAAGAGGGGGAGGGGCGAAGCCTGATCGCTGCTGTCCTTATGTTGGCTCACGGCGGTCGCCAAAGCATTAGGGGACCGACAGGCTCGGTTACAACAGCTGTACAGAGGTAAGTAAAAGACGAGGGTACAAAGCGCTGGGTCATGCTTCCATGAACCAATAAGCCTAGCGCCTAGGTGTGGCAGGGCAGACGCAAACTGAGAAAATGCAGCTTATGCTGGGCCAGCCGGCAGGCAGCCCAGAAAGCCCTGAGGGGCGCCGATGGGGCTGATCCCACATCGGGCAGACTGATTGTTAGCGTCGCGAGCCCGCGCCACTAAAGCCAAACAGGGATTATCATTCCCAACGAAAGGCTGGCTACAAGAACGCGAGCATGCGCGCGCTTCCATGCAGTCGCGGCTCCACGACAGAAGACAAGCGAGAGGAGCGCGGGCGCGCGTTCCCTCTAAGCAGTCGCGATTCCACGAAGGCTCTGACTAGGGCCAGAAAGAGGCCCCCCTCCTGTGCAATGGGTGGCCACTACTGAAGAATTCCTCAGACCACAAGGGTCTATCGATGCGTTTGAACAGCAGCATCATCACGCGTGACGCGTTGACAGTGGGAGTAGTACCGCGAAACGCTGTTGATGGCTAGACTTCGCGGGTGTAGCTCCGTTATCAGTCCATGACTCGTAAGAATAGGTCACGGTCGAGAGAGCCCTTGATGTGTCCATCCGCTGTCACATCCCAGGCGTCACACCGCTGCGCAGTATTTGATCCTGGGTTCCAGAACCTGTCCAAGCCAACTGATGTGGCCCAGCAGTGCGCTTTCTACAGGTACCTCCGGGTCCTTGCTGGAGAGAGACTGATACAAGGACTCGGCATCAGTCGTGAAGGATGCCTTAATACAGAGCCCACCTCGCTCACGCAGGTGATTGAGCCCAGAAGGAAGTTAATGGGCTCTTCATGGGCTCATATAGCGTCACTGAAATATGATAGGTATCATTCGCCCGCGCAGCGCGCAGCAGCAAGTGTTTCAGCTGGACCAAACTGTGAGGCGATGAGACTTGCGTAAGCTGTCGGCGGACTGGATAACATCCTCCTCGCTGCTCGCGATTCCTCGACGCAGCAGGTTGCGCGCGATAAGATCGTGGCCTTTTAGCATCATCGCCCTCCTCTCCTGTGGGCTTTCGGTAGCCCGGACCCCTGCGTAGATGCGCCTTGCCACTGCGTAGATGCACCTTGCCGTCGGGCGTCATCCTGCGGCAAATGATATTACTGGGGTATTGCACTAGTTTGCGAGTGGAGGCATTGAGACATCTCGCCTGGGGGTTCGCCTGTGCTTGAATGCGTTGCAGTAGCACAATACACACCACAATCAAAAGCACCCTGGAGACTCGCGAACATGCCGCTGCCAGTCTTACTAGCCATTGCATCTGGTGATGCTCCGACGAGGTCGGGGTGCGCGATTGGGCGCTCTTGTTCGACGTAGTCGTCTTGGCCCATGATCGCGTCGCCCTTCTCCGTCTGGGTGCATCTGACTGCGCGCTCGGTGTAGGCATGCTTGTGAACCTTGCGCCTGCCAAACACGACACTTGCTCTACTTTGTGTGCGTGGGAGTCGATATAAGCCTCATTGCCGCGCATGTTGATGTCATCTACGGCTTTGGCTGTAAGTAGGTCCGGTGCAGCTTCGAACCCTGGGTCAGACGACAATGACTCGAGACCGATGCCCTCGGTGGTTCCCCTGAGCTCGAGGGAGCAGGCTCGTGGAGCGCCCTTTGTGCTGGCGCCAGTTTGAGACGCTCGAGGCAGTGGCGGGGCTCGCCGCGGTCTTCAGACCCAGGCAGCCCACATAGGACCGAGTCGATTCCAGGAGGTAATGTAAAACATGCAATGCGCTCCTGTTCCCCAGCCTCCTCTGCGAGTATATAAGTCAGCGTCTTAAGGAAAGCTTTTTCACGCACAGGCTGGCCATGGTCCAGTCCCCATGACAAGCCGCCACACTGTCTAGCAAGCGCTGCGAAGCGCGCTCGGCCGCGCCTGAGATGGTCTCCACTGAATAAACCCTCCTGGCCCATGGGGCTTCTCAGTGCTGAGCGGTGCCGGATGACTCTTTCTGAATTGCAGGAGTCGGTCTTCGCGGACTTTATATGCGCGCCGAGAGGTCATTGCATTTTGAGCTTTGGACAGAAGTTCTTCTCCGAAGCATCGGTTCTAAGTTCGCCCGGGAGAGCGTTTGATACTAGCTTCGGATGACTCCGGATGTCTTGCTCGGTCAGCAGGTCACCCTCCTTCGCAACAACGGCCCTTTTAATCTCCGCCGAAACGCATATACGCAATCTAGCTCGTCCGAGCGCATGGCGTTTAGTTGTGGCTCGTCCAAGACCGCCGTGGCCATGTCTCCGGCGAAGCATAGCTCGGCGCACTAGTGGCGTCGGCGTCGAAGTCGTAGTCGCCATTTGCGGCTTCGCAGATACGCACTTCAATGGCCATAGTGCGGTCGCCTGACCTTTGGTAACAGAGCAGCGCGTCGTGCTGGTTGTGTTCGCAGAGGTTCCACAGTGCGTGCATGGAACATACTGCTTTCATGCTCATACGATACCAAGACTGCGTTGGTCCGCACAAGAGGAGTGCGGACCACATAGAGTATCTGAAGCTGTTCTAGCTGTTCTGTCAAAGTATTTGCTTCGATGTAATCGAAATCAGAGTTGACCAACTCCTGGTGCCACTCATGCATCAGCACCTTGTCCTCCTCCTGCTAGCCCCCCCCTTCATCGATGGTGAACAGTCGGCCGGCACCTCTGTCGGATGCCATAGGTGTGTCAAGGAGATTCGTGTTTCCACGCTCGTCACTCTCCTGAGAACCATCGGCTAGTTCGGGGAATCGTGAGGAGGTAGCGCGCAGTGGTCTGGAGAAGATCAGTCACTGTATCAGTCGAGCATGGCTGCTGCCAGTAATGTGGGGCATGTTTTGAATGATATTGATTGACTCGTAACGGCGGAGGTCAGATTGGACGCCACTGTCGCAGTGGACCATCGCAGTGCGATCAGCACCAGGGTAGGACGCTAGGGCGCGAACGCCCTGACACTGTCGATCCATTATCTGGGTTACGGTAATGCGTTGAACTGCCATATGTACTGAAGGAGTCAATTGCCTGACGCAGATAGTATGTACACCTTCTTGTGGTCAGGGACGTAGCCAAAGGTGATAGGTGCTTTCCCAGCGGGAAGTGCGGACATGCATTGGATGATAGTGCGCATGGCCACCTTATCCATGCCACATTCCATAGGCGCGAACACCTCAATATATAAGGTCGATCTCCCGACGGGAAATTGGGCCACCATATCTCTGCTCCCCGATTTGGCAAAGAACTGTTCACGTCCTGCATAAACTTCACTGACCGTACATGGGCCATTTCAGCCTCCGTGGTCATCCTTAGTTGTAGTAAGTCGGCGGCAGTCAATAGGTCTCCCATCCGAAAGATCCTGCCACCATCCGCTTTGGTCTTCGTCTTGAGAACCCTGTTCGCCTTGGCCACAGCAGCGGCTGAAGCGATGGCGTCCAAGGCGCTTTCCTGACTGCGTCGTTCTCGTATATGGCCGGTCCTCTCGGGGGCCTCAATATCTGATCCTTGAAAGCCGGGTATCATGGATGGTCGTCGACCAGTAAAGGCATTGCATTGGGAGACCATCGTAGAAGGTGAACGCATTGCAAGCGATTAGATATTCGGCCAGTAGTCGGTTGAAAGCCACGGGGATGTCACGCCTGTAAGATCCCCCTATAAATTGCAGGACTCCTCGGGGTACTCCACTTCGAGCTTCGATGGCAGTGGCGCGTTTTCCCGGAACTCTGCCGCAGAGTTCCGTCCCTAGAAACTTCAGCTGGCTCTTAGCACCATCATTGTTGAGACTCCCTTCGCCATGAATATGATATGTTGGCCGCGTGGTTGCATTTGACCCAACAGTTGCAGCGCGCGCCCAGGAAGGCATCCTTGGCTTTGTTGGGAACTTCGCAGCCACTGCCGTAACTGGTACATCGGTCGATGGTGTGGAAGGTGAAATGCTTCTTGCGGGAGGACAGGTCGCACTCAACTTCCTCTTTGAAAAGGCCAGGTGGACGAAGCGCTGGTAAAGTGAAGGTGCCAGGTCTTTACCAAGCCTGGCACGCACGGCGCGCGCCGACGATGAGCTTCATCATGTTGAGTCTTACGCCGTCCAGGCCTACTGGCTGCAAGATTTGATTTTTTCGGCTCCATTGCGTGGAAGAGAAAAACATGCAATTTCCTGAACTCTTTGTCGATGGCCGCTAGGTCGTTGCTCCCGGGCGCCTCGAGACTGGATTGGGTATTGAATCGAAACCAGTCTGGAAGCGCGGTCGGCCACGCGCTACATCGGAGGACCGCGGTGCAGCTGGGTGGAAGACACGACGGGGCACTGTT